AAAGGATTGATACAATGCATTACGGCCTGTAATTGGCGTAGAGTGGAATCATTAAGGCGTACAGGGGAAACGGCGTGTCGATTGGCAATTTCAGTGGATGGATCGTGCACATAAATTTGAGCAAAGGCGGGTCTATTATTTTCAGCCAGTAGCAATGAACCTATGCGATGGTAGACACTTCCATGAATTCGGAAATTGTACGCTCCACCACGCGAATTAGCAACAGTTTGATCAACGTTGACACCAAGAGATGTGAAGCTTAGAACACTGTTGTATACTCGGATGTTGGTACGAAAATCCTCAGCAGCAGCATCAGTACCACGTAGCAATTGTGAAATCTCTGGAGGTGTTGGATTGAGGGGTGGGAGCTCAACCGACCCTTGTTGGCAGCAAAGATTGAAACGTGGCGTGCGGAGAGAGCTATGAGATACACGCTCTTGGATCCAAAGGCGAGCATGGCAGTTACTACATTCAGTATCCATGGGACCAATGAAATGGCGCAGTGGATGGGAGTTTGTGGAAACGCGGGCAATACTATGAAGCTAAATTATAACAGCGTCATCAGTAATCATCAGTGTCATTGTAAAGATCTAAATAGTAACTAACGTTTTCTTGCTCGATCTGGTATGCAGGGTTATTAGGACACCTTCTGTGCGTGCATCTCAAATGACCCTCTTGTCCACAGCTTAAGTATACATGAACTGGAGCAGCAGTAGGTATAGTGAGATTCTCATTGTTTAACGAATTATTAAGGCAATCACGATGTGACCTTCGTGAGTGACCCTCTTGCCCACAACTGGAACAGACAGGCACAGCTTCTGGCGCTTCGCGAACAATGTCGAAATCGCGCTCATCATTCTCATTGTTTTGGCGCATTGCCAATCTAGAAGGATTGTTTAGGCAATCACGATGAGTTACGCGTTGGTGGCCCGGCAAACCACAAGAGTTACAAATGGGTGTTGACATGTCAGAGAGATAAAAGTAAAAGAACGTTTGACTATTACTACGTTGGGATCTAAAAAAAAAACTTTTGCAGGATGTTCTCCCCCACGAGCCCTCCCATTGGGGTGTACCCCCTAACCACACTTCCTTCTAAATCCGAGCTCACTCGCTTCGCTCGTTTACTTAAAGGCATAAATATGACAAACTAAAGTTAATTATAACAAAAAAACTATTTCTTGGTTTTCTCCATAGCGTGCTGTTTCTTCTGGTGAAATTCTGCAATTGCTTCGTCGATTTCACCTATGCATGCGTTTGGTTCCATATACAGAGTCTTGTAGCTGAATGCAAGGTGCTTGATTCCAGTGGGGTAGGCCTCACGTATAGACTCATAGTGAGTAACTTTTGCCCAGATCTCTTCATCTGTAGGGCGTGGCGGATACTTGTTTGTTGTTGTTGCTGCCATGTTCAATTTAAATCGCTAAATTACTGAAATAAAAAAAAGAAAAGAAAAAACGTGTTGTGTAGCAAGCAGGTTATACACACCTGCGTAGAAGAGAGGATAAAATATCTGGCAGAGGAACACATATTTCCTTTTTTGTGTAATACGTAATTTTTATTATTTTAATAAGATAGATAAAGAAAATAAATATATTAGTAATAACTCTCATAGAAATAAAATACATAAGAAATATAATAAAGATAAAGTTGTTAAAATTGATAACAAAAAAGATATTCTTGAAAAAGGTATCTAATCTTGAGTTTTAATAAAATAATAATAAAGATAATAATAATACATAATAGAAATATATTTAAAACATTTGTTTTTTACAATTATAAACTATCTTTTGAGTCAATACATAAAAGTATACATTGATACACTCTTAGCTGAGGTAAATTACTTTGAATTTATAAAAGGAAAGCAAGTTATTAAGCAAGTTGTATTCTACTGGCATTTTGTAAAAGCAGGTTTGTACTATGGTGCCTGCCACCTAGAAACAACAAGTGGATATTTCAAAAATTTAAGATTCTGCCTTTATAAATTTCCATTTTTAGTTAAGTGATATTGATTCATCGAACATTTGCTAGTGGGGCTTATATTCTTTCTGCTTTTCATCCAGTGAGTCCTTTCTCAGAGGATGACTTAAATAAACAAACTACTCTCGCATGATTCTTCTTACATGATTATTAGAAACTGACAGTTCTCTTTGAACACACAAGAAATTTACTTAATTGTGTTCTTTGACTCTTGCACAATTTTAAGGTTCTTCTGGTACTTGTTGAGTCTCCCCATTGTATAGAATGTTTTAGAAAAAGAAGGAACAATAAAACTGTCATCCTACTTATAATTTACCTGGCACTATTACAGTCAATGTTGATTGGAAGGCTGAGGTATATATTGCACCAATGCTTACCACTAATGTTACACTACCTTCTTAATATGGAAATCGCCGATTCAATGTCATATACTATAGTGTATAGTAGGGTGGACATTCTGATAAAATCCTCTACTAAATTTTGAAATCGACACCAACTTCAACACTTTATTTCTCTTTTTTTTTGCTCGTATATATACAAAAACGTTTCATAGAATTACTCTTTAAGCCTCTCTCTATCGTTCTATGAAGCCAAAAAAGTGGGTTGTATAAGTGAAAAAGTTGAAATAAAACATTGAAAATTGGTCTAAAAATTCACGTTTCTGGGTGGCAGGTACCATATAAATGACAGTATCAATCATATTCAAGAAAACTAAGCGCAGCCACCCAGCTCAACTATCACTACGATTTCAGGCCAAGGAGCTTCCTTGATTCACCATGGTGATAACTACAATGGAACGGTAAGCATCAAGTGAAAGCATAATCTAGGAGAGAAAGTTGGAAAAAGAATATTAACTTTTACTAATGGGAACTACAAGAAGGCTTCTGAAAGTAGTAGTAGCAGTATCAGTAGTAATGGAGGTGAAACCATCAATGATGATGATAGTATCATTCACAGCAATGTACACCCACCCTTTATTCAAATACCATCAAGCAATGATCATCTACGGCTTCTGAGCAGTTTCGATGTCTCAATGCACTTTTACAACTTTCAGACATCAATCACAGCCAACAACTTGTTCTTTATGGAAAGCAATATGCACCATATCCTATATGCCATATTCTACCTAAAATCATCTTCAACCCCTTTTATTCTTTAATTGGTATTAGTGCATTATCACATATCTAGTTGGTGGAACCACATTGTATACATGATGATATGCACAAAACATTTGGCACTGCTGGACTCTATGAACTACAAAATTATGTGAACGAGTAGTTCAAATTTAGAAAACATAGGAGGCAATTAATACTGACTTATTTGGTAATCTGAAAAATATAGTTACGGTAAGATGACACTAAATAGTGATTGTTGGAGTTATGCTCAGATAATTCACAGATTTGAAAAAAACATTAAACATTTAAAAATTAAATTCAGACATATAATAGAAAATATATCATTTACTAAAAATATAAAGATTTCTCTATTATAAATAAATTAAAGGTAAACAATTTAATATGTAAGATAAATAATTCTGATATCTATTTAATAAATATTATCAGATTTTCTAATCTTAAAATTACTATAATAAATAAAAAAAGTAAATATATTAACAGTTATAATAATGGAAACAATATATTTAAAAAAATATAATAAACTTATTAAAATTAATAATTTAAAAAAAACAATTTTTTAGACTTTAATAAATAATATAATAATTAAATAATAATAACTTAGAATAAAAGAATAAAATGGAAAAAGTGTTAATATTATAATTCCTTCAGAGATAATTTATATATTTTATATTAATATAAGACAACATAAATAAGAGAATCATAAAGAATAAGTAATAAAAAGGCAGACCTTTTTAAATATATGTACAAAGTTAAAAAATCAATTGTTTTTATCTATAGTAAGAAAAAAAGAAAAATAAATTTTGATAATAATATGAATAAAATATATGTAATAAACATCTGTGAAATCTGTGAACTGTTTTCTGAATTACCTGTAATTACAATATTACTGTTTATAAAACTGGTATTAATTTCGTTTTTTTTATGCTCTCTTTAGAATGTGAAAAACGAGGTTACAGCACGTTTGGATGCCCAGTGCACCTTATATCAAATGGCCTTGAATGCATCTTCACCGAGTTACTCAAAAATAATACTATCTATAGCACAGATGTAAGTATAGTCAACCCCCGTTTTTTGTAGCTATGGGATTTTAGGAGATTAGGCTGCAAAAAGTGGGAGGCTGTAAAATACAAAAGCATTACATAGGGCAAAATTTCAAGCTGTGAGCTGTCATTAATTATACACCAATGACATGGTTACTGTAGTAACTGAGATATATAGTACTGAGACCAACCCATTTTGTTAATTCCTTTCTCTTCCCCCTTTTCTACTATCCATAATGCCACTAAAGGCTGATTACATAAAGTTTACTGAAGATCAAAACGATGAGATATAGTAATAAGATTACAATGGAACATCTTAATTTTATATATTTTTGATCAGATATGTGGTAAACTAAGATCCAGTACAGACAGATGTCTTGATAGAAGGTTTCTCTTTACCACACCGGGATCCAATAAGGGACACGGTTGCGCACATACACCCAGCTGGATTGAAATGTGAATCCTTCATATAACTCAGTAAAGAAACCAAGTATGAACCAACCGTCCAAGAACACATCTCAAACCATCATAAAAGTTTTTTATTCGTTCTTACAGCAAAGCACCAGTAAGATCCTTGCTGACAAAGAAGTTAATAAGCTTTCCACCTTCAGATCTGTTTCTCCGTTAAGACCGAATTCTCAAACAATGTTTGAAAGTTAGATATAAAAGAAGATAGTTTCTATAGCTGATATTGTACTTTGTTCAATCTTTTGAATATAATCTATTCTCAAACGACTTATTTGTCTTTATTTGTTTCGATTTACCACATTTTTTCGTTTGGAATAGCTACCTCATTGAGAGGCCTTGTCCTTGCATTCTCAAAAGCCCAGAGTGGTCCGAATTGTTGTTAGTTAGGTTTGATTGCGTCATTGACATCTTGAAGGGCTGCTTTGTATGCTTGTCGCGCTACTTCTGCCCTGCGCTCCGCTTCCACAATTGCTTGCTTCTGCTCTCTCTTCGCTTGTAACCATGCTTCGTACATTTCCCGGACCATTCCATACTCCTCGCCCACGTTGTCATCCTTCATCCTATTCTTGACATATGATGCTAGGTCGTCGTGCGCTTTTCGCCATATTGCTATGCGCTGAGTCAACATATCGAATTGGGCCTTGAGGGGTACCTTCTTGTGCATCTTCATACACGTAACCACCCACAATGGAACTACGTCATCCACGATAAGATGATAGTATTCGTCGTCTGATTTATTGGTGTGCTCGTTCCACCACACATCCACCTTCTCTCTTTCCTCCTGCTTGAAGAACTCTTCAACATCCTCGCGCGTGATATCGTCCGTGTGTCTGCGTTTTGGACCCATCCTTATCTCTGCGTCGTCTTAGTTCTGGGGGTAGGGATGTTATTTGAAGGGGAGTTAACACTAGATAAAACACATGTATTCGGACACTTCGGAGCAGAAGCAATAGCAAAAGCCCTGCACAGTGACGGCATACATATCAAGATGCAGCGTTGATCGTAAAGAAATGCCCTGAGTGTCAAAAGTTTAATATTACAAAAGCAGGATATCATCCTCTACGTCCCGTACATGCATATTTACCATGTGATCATTGGGCCATAGACCTAGCAGGACCATTCAAAACAACTTTTGCTGGTAACAATTATCTAATGGTTATGGTGGATGTTTGCACACGCTTTTGCATTTTACGCCCCATACCAAATAAGCAATCTGATACCATTGCGAAAAAGTTGGTTGACGTGTTTTGTGATTTCGGTTTTCCCCATTACTTACAATCAGATAATGAAACCGAATTCGTCAATTCCATCATAAAGAAGCTAACAACAGTCACTATGCTGGATCATAGACTTAGTACACCATATCACCCGCGTGGAAACGGAGTTTCTGAGCGTTGGGTCTCCACAACAGTTAATGCATTGAAAAAGAGCATTAGAGGAGCAGTAAAGGATTGGGACTTATTCGTTCCTAGTGTACAGCTTGCAACAAATGCAAAAATAGCAAAAAGACATGGATCCGCTCCTTACACATTAATGTTTGCACGAAAGTTGAATGGTTTCGATGACTATACAAAAGACGGTCAATTAACACCTGCATCAGAAAAAATACTCATGGAACGCATCAGGAATATGGAGAATA